CATAGAAACTGGTCCTTCGAGCCGGATACGGCTCGCGGGTGGAGGGACACTCCTGGTGCACATAAAGGGGGAAATTGACTATGGGATTCCCATCGACGATGGCGGAAGGCGCAGCCAAATTGCTCGCTAAGCAGCAACAGCTACAGCGGATCATCGAGAGGGCGGTGGACAACTTCAAGAAGATCGGCCGCAACAATCTGACGGCGGCCAAAATACATTCTCGGATTTCTTCGCTGAAGGAGTCCTGGATTCTCTACCTGAATGGCCATGCGGACTTGGAGAGGGCCGTCAGCGAGGCGGACCAGAGGACGATCGCATATTTCAAGGACAACTGTTTCGAGCCGACGGAGGAGACTTACCAGGAAGCACTGGACTACATGACGGAGGCGCTTGAAGAAATCGATCCACCTGTAAGTCTCGATCAATCGGCTTGTTCAACGACACGCGCGTCGGCGTCGGAATTTCCGCGGTCTCAGATGCCGGCGATAAGTCTCCCGCCGTTCGACGGAAGCTACGATAAATGGGAGCACTTTCGGGACCGATTTACTTCGTTAATAATTCACAATAAAGATTTGCGTAATTTTGCGCGCATGCAGTATCTCGCTTCGAGTGTGACCGGTAGCGCGCTGGATTGTATTTGCGATCTCAAAGTTACGGCCGAGAACTTCGACGTCGCGTGGAAAGCTTTGGAGGACCGATTCGAGAATAAACGGCGACTGCTCGGCGTGCATTTGTCCGCGTTGTTGAATTTGCCCATCGTTCCTCGCGAGTCTGCGAATGATTTGAGAACGCTTGTGAATAAGGCGAGCCTCGCGGTCGCGTCTCTCAATAACTTGCAACGGACCTCTGCAGAGTTGTGGCACGACATGCTGGTGCATTTGGTCGTGCAACGTGTCGATTCGGCCACGCGAAAGGCGTGGAATGTGAAAGCCAACGAAAGTGACGCTATTCCGTCGTTTGACACCTTCATTAAATTCATGAAAAATCGTGCCCTCGCGCTCGAGGATTTCGCGCAGCCTAACGGTGGTCCGTCGACGCCTAATGCGTCCGGTCAAGCGAAATCTCGCAAGGTTCACGCGTCGACCGCGTCCGCTTCCGCACCTGCGTCCGCGTCTCCGTCCGCGGACGCAGCCAGCGCGAAATCGTCGTCATGCCCTATATGTAAGGGCCGTCATTTCTTTCGCTCTTGCCCTTCCTTCGTAGAGGGGAGTCCGAGCCAGCGACTCGAGGCCGCCCGGCAGCATAAGCGATGCCTTAATTGCTTGGCTCACGGTCATATTAGTAAAAACTGCAACAGCAAGTATACTTGCCGTACTTGCTCCCAAAAGCATCATACTATGCTGCATGGCGGGTGGAGTCCTGGCACAACCTCTCCGGGTGTCGCGTCGACGACGCACCTCGCGGCGGCGACGTCCGGCGCTCCGCCGTCGGTCGAGGCTAGCACGGAGATTCAATCATTATCCGCGTCGCTGACGGCCCAGCCAGGACCGTCTCACATTTTGTTGGCTACGGCGTGGATCGCGGTACACGGGGCGTGCGGGCGCTCCCTTCGGGTGCGCGCGTTGCTGGATCAAGGTTCCGAGATGACCTTCATCTCGGAAAATCTGGCGCAAAATTTACGATTGAAACGAATACGAATGCCCGTCACGGTCTCGGCAATCGGCGGCGTGAGCGCCGGGACTTATCCTCACGCTAGTGCCATTGAGGTAGCGGCAATTGATTCGCGCGCGGCCGCCGTCTCCACGACCGCGGTAATTCTACCGACTCTTACAAAGTACGTTCCCCGTCGCGTCGCGGCGGCCTCGTCCCTCGAGCATCTGCGAGATTTACGTTGGGCGGATCCGGATCCGACGAGTGCGGATCCGATTCAGATAATTCTGGGCGCGGATGTCTTTAGTGACATTCTTCTTGAGGGAGTCCGAAAGGGCGACCGGGCGGGCGAGCCTATCGCGCAGTGTACCATTTTCGGCTGGGTCATTTCAGGCCCTATTGGCCCTATTTCTAACGGTACGGAGGCTCTTCGAGCTTCCTCTCAAATTTCAGTTCATCACTGTGCATATACGTCCTCACTGGACGAGGATCTCAAAAGATTCTGGGAGGTAGAAGAGCCTCCAACCCGATCCTCGCGCTCAGCTGAGGACGAAGAATGCGAGAGGCATTTTCGCGAAACGCATGCGCGGGCGGACGATGGCCGGTATATCGTGCGTCTGCCGTTCAAAAAGGGCCCGCCGATCGACATCGGCGATTCTCGCGGCCGAGCAAACGCGCTTCTTGCATCCTTGGTACGTCGGTTGCAGCGTAACCCGGGGATTGCAGCCGACTACCGCAATTTCATGGCGGAATACGAGCGTCTTGGCCACATGCGGAGGGCGCCCGTCTCCTCAGGTCCGCAGGACACCCACGTCTTCATACCGCATCACCCTGTACTTCGAGAGGACAGTGCCACGACCCGTTTACGCGTCGTGTTCAACGCATCCAGCGTCACCTCAAACGGTACTAGCTTAAATGACCATTTGCATTCAGGGCCGAAACTGCAAGCAGAGTTGCCCGCTGTCCTGTTGCGGTGGCGCGAATTTCACTACGTCTGTTCAGCCGACATCAGCAAAATGTTTAGGCAAATTTTAGTAGATCCGCGGGATAGAAATTATCAAAAAATTCTTTGGCCCTCTTCTAACGCTGCTGCAACGGAATATCAGTTATGTACGGTTACATACGGGACGGCTAGTGCACCCTACTTAGCTCTTCGTGTATTGCAGCAACTTGCGGATGACGACGGGCCTAAGTTTCCGGCCGCCGCGCATATTCTCAGACAAAACATCTACGTCGATGACGTGCTGTTCGGGCACGACGATGTGACTGCTCTTCGGCAGCACCGAAATCAATTGGTTGAACTGCTGCTTCGCGGGGGTTTCGAGTTACGGAAGTAGGCGAGCAATTCCTCACATCTCCTCTCGGATATCGACCCTCAAAATCACGGGCTGGCCTGCAGCAAGACGCTGGCGCCGGATGAAAAACTAAAAATACTCGGAATTGGTTGGAGTCCTTCGCCCGATGTGTTTCAATTCCGGGTGGCCATCGAGCACCCTGTGCCAACCAGCAAGCGCTCAATCCTCTCTGCTATCGCCAAATTATACGATCCTCTTGGGTGGGTCACCCCAGTGACCATTGCGGCGAAAATTCTGATACAGCAACTTTGGAAACTTAAGCTCACGTGGGACGAAGTCGTGCCTTCCTCCACCCTCAGTCGCTGGACTCAAATCTACTCTAGGTTGCCCTGTCTCGCTGCGCTTCAAATACCGCGGTGGACGGATCTCGGTGCCGACGTGAACCAGGCTGAACTGCATGGTTTCGCGGACGCGTCTAACGCGGCGTATGCCGCCGTCGTATATCTCAGGGTTACTTCAAGGACAGGCGCAGTGACAATCTCCTTAATTACGGGCAAATCCAGGGTTGCTCCTTTGAGGACCCTCAGTGTGCCTCGGCTGGAGCTCGCGGCCGTCGTTTTGTTGGCTAACCTCGTCGAGTTTGTTCGAGATTCGCTTAGGTTCGATACGATTTCATGTCATTGTTGGACTGACTCGACGATCGTCCTTGCGTGGCTCGCGCAGAGCCCCGATCGGTGGAAAACCTTTGTGGCCAACCGCGTGGCCGATGTTCAAGCTCGCCTTCCCAATGTAAAATGGCGCCACGTGGCTACACACGAGAATCCTGCCGACTGTGCTTCGCGAGGATTGCTCGGGGACGAGGCCCTCGCCCACCAGCTGTGGTGGCAGGGTCCGTCATGGTTGCGGTTGCCTGCGGAAGAGTGGCCGACTGGCACTCCGGATCTCCCCGCGACTGCGCCGCTCGAGGAAAAGGTCGTCGCGTTGCACGTCCAGACCGCAACCGATCGGTTCGATGTTGCGTCGCGTTACTCGTCGTGGCCAAGATTGATTCGGGTTACTGCATATTTATTCAGGTTTATTGCGCGGTGTCGACGCGCCGTGCAGGAGGCGAGCCGGGGCCCGCGTGAGGGACGGGTGGTGCGAGCCGCCAGTAAGGCTAATCTCGAGGGCCGCGCCCTTGACGCGTCCGAATGTCGCGCAACCGAAAAATTCTGGATCAAGCGGATCCAAGCTGAGGTCTTTCGGGCCGAAATCTCGGCGATCTTGAATCATCGCGAAATCTCTAGTAAAAGCCCTCTTCTTTCGTTGAGACCGTTCATCGATCACGAGGGCGTACTCCGCGTCGGCGGGCGGCTAAAAAACGCGCCCGTTCCCTTCAATGTACGGCATCCGATTGTGATCGCTTCGCACGGACTCGTGCGACTCTTGATCGAGCACACTCACAAGCGCATGCTGCATTCGGGCTTGCAGTTAACTTTGAGTCAACTCCGCCGAGATTTCTGGCTGGTCGGGGCGCGCCGTCTGGTAAAATCGGTTATACATAAGTGCGTGGTCTGTGCTCGGGAGCGCGCCGCGATCCCCTCCCAGCTTATGGGCAACCTGCCGGCGGTACGCGTCACCGCTGCGTCTCGTAGCTTTTTACATTGTGGATTGGATTATGCCGGCCCGGTTTTTGTTCGCGCCTCGTCAGGGAGAGGAGTCACCTCTCGCAAGGCATACATAGCGCTATTCGTATGCTTAGCTACTAGAGCAATTCACTTGGAATTAGTCTGCGACTATTCTACCCCTGCCTTCCTCAACGCGTTTTCACGCTTTACTTGTCGGCGCGGGCTTCCAGAGGCGATGTATTCAGACAACGGTACAACGTTCACCGGAGCCGATCGCGAGTTGGCTGGTGCTTATCGCCAAGCAATGCGAGATCCCGCGGTGCAAAATAAAATTGCCACGGATAAAGTAGCCTGGCACTTTATCCCCCCCTCAGCTCCGCATTTCGGGGGCATCTGGGAGGCCGGTGTCCGCAGTGTAAAACACCATTTGCGTCGCGTCCTCGGTTCTCATAAGCTAACTTACGAAGAGTTTACGACTCTATTATGCAGGATTGAAGCCTGTTTAAATTCGCGCCCTATTGCTCCTCTGTCGGACGTTCTCGAGGATTATGAGGTCTTGACGCCGGGTCATTTCCTCATCGGTGCCGCGATTACCAGTAATCCGGAGCCTTCCCTCCTCGATTTGAACGAAGACCGACTATCGCGGTGGCAAATTGTCCGGCATGTAACGGAACGTTTCTGGAAGCTTTGGCAGGCCGATTATATAAACACCTTGCAACAGCGGGGTAAGTGGCGTCGAACCCACCCTCCGGTCAAAATCGGTCAGATCGTGCTCTTGAAGAACCCGGCGCTGCCCCCTTGCAAGTGGGAGCTCGGTAGGGTGACGCAGGTGCATCCTGGATCAGACAACCTGACGCGCGTTGTGACGGTCAAAACCGCCTCGTCAGAGTACAGACGACCGATTGTCAAACTTTTGTCTCCTGCCGGTTCATTGCGCCGCGAATGACTGCTAGAGTGTCAAATCGCATGCTGGGCTGAGGAGGCTCACTCGCTCGGCCCGACGAGCGGTGCGCCTCCTCGCACTGTGTTTAGATTTAAGTGCGCGCCTTTAGTTAAGTTAATTAAGTTCATAGTAATTAATCGGATGTAAGCCTAAGGTGAGCTGTGCCGGCGGACCTTGGCGGGCGGCGCGAGCCGTTGCGTTCGTATCGGGATGATTGCATTGTATTCGGCCCCTCGTTTCGAAATTACTATTTCGAGGCGGGCGGCAT